ATATGTGTGAAATTTTCTATAATAAAAATTGGGGAGGGGGATTTTTGCTATAGAGCACGTGTACTCGCCAGAACGACAGAGGGAGACAGACAGATGGAATGCAAAAAATCACCCTCCGGGGGGATGGTCATACTGCAGCCCCTTTTCTTCTATTCTCTCAGGATTTGGGGCATACACACATACACATCCAGCATGAGTTTCAAGCTGCCAGGTCTGAGACTCATACTATGGTTGGCCATGTGGGAGTCCAGCAACGGAACCATTATGCCACTTCCTGGTCCCCATAATAAAAACATTTTAAAGGGCTGGTCTCATAGCACAGTGGCTAAGGGCAGTGTGTAGGGAGCCAGATCCCACATGACCAACCATGATTCAAATTCCAGCCACAACAGCTTGAGGGCCATGCTGAGCTTGTGTGTGTGTGCGTCATAATCCTAATGGGATGGAGAAGTGGAAAAAGAGGATTGCATCATGACTGCCCTACTCTGGGGGGTGCTTTCTCCCTCCCTCTGTCTGTCTGTCTGTCTGTCTCTCTCTCTCTCTGGCAAGCACATGTGCCCTCTGGCAATTAAAAAAAAAAGTTAAGGGACCAGTGGATGGTGTAATGGTTATGTCACTGGATTCCCACAGAGTTGACCATGGTTCAAGTCCCAGGCCTGTCAGCTTAAATTCACACCAGGCATATGTGCGTGCATGCCCAAAATCCTGAGAGGAGAATAGAAGAGAAAGAATTGTGACATTCTGTCTCTCTTTCTCACTCAGTCTCTCCAGCGAGCACATGTACTCTATAGCAAAAATCTCTCTTTAAAAAAAAATGTTAAAAATAAAATACAGGGGCCAGCAGGTGGTGTGATAGTTAAGGGCACTGGACTCACATGGCTGACTGCGGTTTGAGTCCTGGACCTGGCAGCTTGCTTTCTCACTTTCCCTCTCTCTCACCTCTCTCTTGCTCACTCACTCACTTGTTCTGTCCCTCTCTGGTCAGATTAAAATAAATAAATAAAGTTAAAGTAATTCTTTAAAATACACACACACACACACACACACACACACACACACACACACCCAGGAGGAAAAGAATGCAAAGAGATGCACCCAACTAGCAGAAAAGATGTTAGAAGAGAGTGGACTCGGCCTTTCAAGGGATATGAAGAGAGGTTACAGAATGAGCATCTGAAACATGCAGGCTTGACGAAGGAATGAAGTGAAGTGGAAAGTGTTTGAATTCAGAGCATAAAAGCAAGAAGTTAATTGGTTACATACTGGAGGCAAAGATTTTTAAGAAAATTTGATTAGGGACCAGCAGTTAGAGTAATGGCTATGTTGCTGGACTCTCATATAATCAACCATGGTCCAAGTCCTGGACCCAGTGACTTAAACTCACACTGGGCGCGTGTGCATGCGTGCCCAAGATCCCGAGGGGAGAATGGAGGAGAAGGGATTGCAGCGTGACCATCCCCCTTGGGGGGTGATTTCTCCCTTTCTGTCTCTATGTCTTTCTTTGTCTCTCTGGCAAGCGCATGCGCCCTGTAGCAAAAAACCTCTAAAAAGAAAGGAAGGAACAAACGAAGGAAGGAAGGAAGGAAGGAAGGAAGGGAGGGAGGGAGAAAGAAAAAGAAAAAAAGAAGAAAGAAAGAAAAAGAACCAGAAGGAGACTTGATTAGGCACATTTAATGTCTTTTGCCATGACCTATCCTGTGAACTTTTTTGGCCATTACTAACATGTTTTCTTTTTTCTCTTTTCTTTATTTTCTTCTCTTCCCCTTCCCTTCCCCCTTCTCTTTCCTTCTTTCTTTCTTTTGTCAGAGGGTACATGCACTCACCAGAGCTGGAGGAAGAGAAGCACCCTACATGGAGCATGGTCTCCCTTTCTCCATCCCACGCACACATGCACCTGCGGCCATTGTGTTTTTCAAATTGCCGGGGCTGGGATTTGAACCTAGATCAACAATGTGCATCCAGCTCCCCATACATAGCACTTACCTGCTCTATAGGGCTGTCCCTTGGCCATTATGAAGCCTGCCGGTTTTGGTAGTATTTTCTTTGTCCATTCTTCTACATTTCACTTTTTGGGTTGATTCATGTCACATTGCCACCAGTTTATGGTTTTTGTGGTTTGACCCAGTCTCTGTATATTAGGAAGTTCATCTACAAAGAGGTCTACAAAATAGTATGAAAAAGGAAAGGAAAGTTTAGATCTATACCAAAAGTATCACATTGTAGGGTCGTGGGTATGTTTATCTTTTTGTGTATGTGCTTCTCTGTCGAGTTTCCAAACTTAATACACATTACAGGTTACAGACAAAAAGGGTGCTTTTAAAACTAAAATTTGGGGGGACCAGCAGTTGGTGTAATGGCTGTGTTACTGGACTCCCACGTAGCTGACCACAGTTTGAGTCCTGGACGCAGTGACTTCAACTCATGGTGCTCAAGATCCCAAGAGGAGAATGGAGGAGAACAGATTGCAGTGTGGCCATCCCCCCTGGTGTGTGGGGAGGTGATTTCTGTCTTTCTGGCAAGTGTGTGTGCCCTATAGCAAAATAAACCCCCCCCCCAAAAAAAAAAAAAAAACTAAAAAATTGGGGGCCAGCTAGTGACTTGATGGTTAAAGCAGCTGGATCCCACAGAGCCAAATGAGCAGCTGAGTCCTGAGAAATGCACTGGGCATGTGTGCCCAAATGCCAAGAGGAGAATGGAAGAGAAAGGCTTGCAGTGTGGCCATCTCCCTGTGGAGCAGGAGTGATTTCTCACTTCCCTTTTCTTCCCGTGTGTGTCTCCCTCTGGCTAATGTACACGTCCTATAACAAAAACTAAAAAAGAAAAAAAAAAAGTAAAATTTAGGCCAGCTGGTGGCATGGTGATTAAGACAGCTGGATCCCACATAGCCAACTGTGTGGATTCAGTCCTAGACCCAGTGGCCTGAAAGACAAGCCAGGCGCATGCGCGTGCATACCCAAAATCCTGACAGGAGAATGGAGAAGGGATTGCCTTGTACTTCCCTGGGGATTCTTTATTCTTTTCCCTCTCTCTGTACCTCTGTGTCTTTCTCAGTGAATTCATGCACTCATTAGCATATTTTTTTAAAAAAATAAAAATATAATAAACTTTCTAATCATCTGGAAAAGGGAGGAAGGGAGAAGAAAAGGAAAAAAATATGTTGAGATGATTTGGCTAGATCTTAGTGGATTCTATTAGCATATGACATCCAGGACATGTGAGAAGCAGATAAAATCCTCTCCAAGTTTAGCTCTGAGAAGCTTCACAGAATTGTTGTAAGCTCAGTCCTGACACAGAAGGAGAGGTTCTCGGAGCAGGCTTGTCCAGGGACCTTGATTCCTTTGCTATTACACATAGACCATGGCCAGGACCCTCAGTGCCTCTTGGAAGACATCAGATAAATTAATTTACTTAGACTTTATGTGCCCAGGAAATACACATTGCCCTCAGACACGAGGAAGTGCTCTAATTCAGTCACTGGGACCCAGAGGCCAAAGGAAAGCCACTGTGCGGGGATGGTCTCCAGTGCTGTCATATCTGACATCGGTCTCTCAGCAAGGAGTGATGGCACAGGGAGCAGGGTTTAAAGTTCTCTGCCTCCAAGTCACATCAGCTCTCTAATAGGGGCCAGCAGGTGGCGTGGTGGTTGAGGCTCCAGACTCCCACATGGTCGATCACGGTTTGAGTCCAGGACCTTTCTCACTTCCCCCCATCTCTGTGTCTCTCTCCAGTCAAATTAAAAAATAATAATATGATGTGATAGTTTTTTTTTTTTTTTTTAATCTCTAATATTAGACCCCTGAGTGATCACCGATACTGTTCCTGAGAGCGCTGGTTATAACGGTGTTAGTGATGCTGGAGAGGAGAAAGGCGCTTGTGGTTACAGTGGTTCCGGCTCGGAAGGCCCTGCTGTAGCCTGCAGTTATTTGGCAGCTGCCTCAGTTGAGTTAGGGATAAAGAGGCAGCGCCTCTGAGGCTTAGGCCTCCAGCATTCGCTCTTGGCCAGGAAGGGCCTCTGCAGGCCCCAGAGTAAGACACAGTAAGTGGAGATACTAGCTGTCTTCTGGGCTTCCAGGTGCCCTGAACAGGGTCTCCAAGCCAGAGTGCTTGGTTCCACGTGCAGTCTTGTTCTCTCGGTATCTCCGAAGAGCTCGATGCCCCCCGTGCCTTTTCCCTCCGTGCTCATTTCCCTTTGCCTCCCTGGCAGCTCTGCCCCATCCTCCCCAAGCCTATACCCTGCTCTACCCAAGAAGCATGAAACTGGCCTTTTCCCTTCTCTCCAGTGTGGCATAAATGCACCCTTCTCTCTTCTTTTCCTCTCATCTCTCCTCCAGGCCAAAATGAACCTCTTAACTCTGGATCCCTCCCTGACCTCCATGGGACCCTCCATCCATCCTCTCTTTCCTTCACCAACAGGTGCACTCAAGTTTCTCCTGATGTGAAACCTCTCCTCTCAGCCGTGCCTCCTAAGCACAGGACTTTTTCTCTCTTCTCTACCAAACTTTTGTCTCCTGTAGCATTTAACCTGCTTTGTCCTCTGACTATGAATTCTTCCTCCCCATCCTGGGTGGTCCACCTCCCAGAATTGTCTCCCAATTCTGTCTCCCTGCACTAGCTGGGTGTTTGGATCTTTTCTGCTCGTTGGACAGTTTCTCGTCCCGGTGTTCCCAGATTGCAGGAACAGTCTGGGCAGCAGTGATCTCTGGATAACCTCCCGGAGAGCTTCCTGCTGTGTGCTGTTAATCCCACCCCAGCAAATCTTCTCTCCACTCCTACAGCTGGCCAAGTTAAGACTTACCAGGCCTGCTTCCTCCCACCCAGACTCCACTGAACAAGATTTGTTCAACCCCTCCGTAGCTCCCTGTGAGCAGACTGGCAGGGAGGGGTACTGGAACGGGGAGAGTGACTTCCAGCAGGTCCGTAGCCAAGACCAGTGCACAGAAGAGCCAACCAGCACTCAGCCTGTTTCGCTTTGTGACCTCCATGGCCCTGCTGTGTTCCAGGTTCTCCAAGCCAGCACCCATGTTCCTGGATGACTCCTTTCGCAAATGGGCTAGGATCCGGGAATTTGTGCCGCCTTTTGGGATCAAAGGTCAAGGTATGTTGGAAACCCTGGCCAACATTAACATCGCATCCCCTCGTCTCTCCCTATACGGGGACAGGGCTGTATCCTAAGACGTGCCTGTGCTGGGGATCAGTCGTCCTCACTCTCAACATTCCCTTCTCTCTCTTTCCCTTTCCTTTTTTAATTTCTTTAATGGACTATTTACTCAGAGCCCAACACTTTGTCAAAGACTAGGCATACCACAGTGAGTAGATAGATAGGGCGGGCCTTCTTGGCGCACTGCAGTCCAGGCCTAGCCAGTGTGGTTCAGTGGTGACACTTGCACTCTGCAGTGCTGGATGCCATATGAAGACCACAGCTCAGATCCCGGGTCAGCCTGGGAAACACACCCAGCTCCTGTGTGGGTGTCCAGGATCTCGAGGAGATGGAGGGCTGGGGGAAGATCATGGCATGCCGAGACTGTCAAGGGTGCTTTCTGTCTTTCTCTCTTTTGTATGTAAACCTGCATGTGTTTTCTATCATTTAAAAAAATAGCTCCAGTCTTGTGAAGATACAGATATCCAGAGAGTGAAGACAGTGAGGACTGTAGTGAGGGAAGTAGAAGAGTGTCGAGATCACAGAGAAGGGGTGCTAGAGCACAGGGTATGCTGGGGATATTCCCAAAGAACAGAGACCATCGCCCATACCCCAAGCCCTTCCACCATCCCCTCCTGATGTTCTTCACTTTACCTTAGTCTCCCTTCCAATCCTGCCTTATCCTGCCCTGGGCTGGCCTTTCCTCCACACTCTCAGAAGCTACCCCCTTTAGGGACCTCACCCATACAGCTTCCTCCTAACTTAAGACATCTCCATTCCTAATAGTTTAGCAGTTCTGCTGCTTTGTCTGACTCCAGAGCTATCTCATGGCATGATGGGAAAGAGGTCATCAGACTTAGAGGGATCAGATCCCACGCTGCCTCTTTACTAGCTATGACCTTGGACAAGTTACTTAAACTGTCCGTCCTTTAGTTTCCTCATCAGTTAAATGGACACAATAATATTGTATAAGGTTGTGGTCAGGTTCAATAAAATAATGTTAAAGGTATGATATCATTTGGCCAGGAGACTCAAGAACACCTGAGCCCTCTACTCAGCCGGCCAACCCCTCCCTGAAAAGAAAACAGTGGCCACCAAAAATGCTGTTGAACTGGAGCTTTGACCTCAAGACTCCAAGGACAGATCTGATGGGTTGGGTTGAACCATGTGAAGAACTCCTTTTTCCAGGGTGCAGATCGCCAAGCAGCTTGCTCTTTTAAGTCCCGGGTTGAGTCTCTGCTCACATAGCTACAAAGGCTAGGAAGGTCCACTGCAGAGCCCACTGGCCAGCAAAAAGAGAATGCCTGGCGGTGTGTGCTTTCTGCTGTGGTTTTCTCCTAGAAAACAAAGCCCAATCCCTGTCCTTAACCTCAGCCACCTCGTAGCGATATGATCCTCTTTAGACGTAAAATTGGAGGTGGCAAAGGGAGGACCTCTGTGGCCTTCCGTGCGCCCTCCATAGGTTGTATCTGTGGGCACTTAATGTGCACATTGCCTACGGGTTTGTGTCCTTACCACCCTCACTCGTACAAGACCAGATTATGGAATGATGAGCCGTTCCTGCTGCCTCCTCTTGCTTGCCAGTTACTCCTCAAGAACATACTCCCCCCACCCCTGTGTCTCAGTGAAACGGCTCAGTGCCCCTGTGAAATCCAGATGAGACCCTTCATCTATCACGGGACCTCTCAGCTCCATCTGACCATGTCTCCACCTCCTCTTTTAAGAAATTATGTTTGTTTTTAATTTCTGAGGCATCCTTTCTTTATGTGAAATATTTCAGGCATACACAAAAAAAATGTATAAAGAATTACTGGGTCATCAGAAAAGTCATGACGTATTTTTGTCTTGACTTTTCCAAGGACCCACTATATAGGGAACACCCACAGACCTTCTACCCACCTTAAGAACTCAAACATGAGATACAGTTAAAGTTTCTGTGCAGCCCTTCCCACTGTGTTGTCCTCCCCAAGAGACCACTGCTGTGATTTCATTGTGAGCATTTCTGTGCCTCCATTGTGTGTTTTCAGTAGGTGTTTATACAGTGTATCCATCCAAAATACCATCCTGCTTTTGTAAGTCTTTAAACTTTAGAAATGGTATCATTGTATGTAGGCGTGTGTCCTTTAGACTGATCTTTTGCCTCTTAGATGTTTGTTTTATTTCTCCATCTTGGTGGTGTAGCTCCAGGTCTTAGGTTTTCTCTAGATGCTATGTAGTATCCCTTGTATCATATTTAACCTATTTTCCTTAGGTGGACGTCTAGGTCGCCTCCAACGTTTTGCTATTACAAACAGTTCTGCAGTGAACATTCTTGTACAAGTCTCCTTGAACAAATGTGTGAGTTTTTAAACGCTGCCTTCTAGGAGTAGAGCTGCAGATCTTAGTCTGTGCAGATCCGCATCGTTGTCTGGTGTTTAGTTACTCTCCACCATTGGGGTTCCAATTTACTTTATCTTTAGGTCTTTGTGTGTGTTGTCTTTTATCTTCCTAATGACTGCCAAGTAAGAATTACCGTCTTCATTTTAGAGATGAGGAAACTAAAGCTCAAAGAAAATACTTGATTTATATAAGATCACAGAGCTATTTGGTAGCAGAAGCAGGATTCGACCCAAAGCCAGCGCCCCCACGCCCCTCTATACGTGATATTATAATGGCCATTCTACACTGCACGTTGCACTGTAATGCTCATGGCACCAGAGCTTGAAAAGAGTCGTCGCCCAGGCCAGAGCGGCTGAGAAAAAGGTCTTCATGGGGATCACGCGGTCTGAGAGCACGGAGGTCACTGGGGTCCTTGCCGAGTGCAGGGGTAGATGCCAGGCTGCAGGGTAAGCGCGAGGAGGTAGACACAGCCTGGCAAGGAGCAGGTTAGAGACTGGCAGTGAAGGAAGGCCATCTCGGAGTCAGGCAGGCGGTCTGCCTGGTGAGCTCTTCGGTCAGTTCCTTCCTTTGCTTCCTGGTACCTGCTGGGGTGTGGGTGGACAGCACAGAGGTGAACACACCGTGGTGTGGTGTCCAGCTCTGAGTGGACACCCCCATTCGGGCGCAGACTAAGGTCCTCCAGCTCCCAGGCAGGCCCTGGCCTAGGGATGCATGTCCTGGGCCTGACTACAGAGCCTCTGAAACCAGACGTGTCTCCCAAGGAAGGTGAAGAAGGTCCAGAAAGAACCTACATTGTTATTAGGGCCTGACTCCCAGCAGAGACCCACCCACCCGCCTGCCATCTCCTTTCTCAAGGACAGGTTAGGATGGTGGCCAGGGCCAGCCTGTGTCCAGAGCTCTCTCTAACCTCCACCTCAACGCTCGCCCCAGGAACTTGAACTTTCCAGTAGTGTTATCATCAGTGGGAACTTAGGTGACCCTCTGAGAGTAATCTTCCTCTTCTGTCCACAGATAATCTGATCAAAGCCATCTTGTCAGTCACCAAAGAGTACCGCCTGACTCCTGCCTTGGACAGGTGAGTCTTCCCCGCCCAGCCTCCTTCCCCTCCGTCCCAGCTGCCTGACTGGGGGACTCCTCCAGCTTATGCACAGAAGCACACACAGCACGCACTGGGCTGGGGGCGCAGGTGGTTGGTCCTCGTCCTCCACCACGGTTGCAGCCCTGCAGACTAAGCACTTGCCCAGATACCCCACTGCTCAGATGGCTGAGGTTGGAGGGTAAGAGCTGAAGACTCTGGGGCTGGATTGCCCCGCAGTGGCACTGAGGGTCTGGGTGGTGGAGGTGGCTGAAGGGGTGGGGCTGAGGTCCAGGAGGCAGTGACAGCATTGAAGACAGCTGACCCAGCAGGGCCAGGGTTAAGGGCTGGAGAAGCAAAAGGTATAGGTTCCCTCATAGCTGCTGGGAGCTTGGGGACTTCAGAGTTGAGATTAAGCCAAGCCCTGAGTCCTGGAGCCTTCAGTCTCATCCGCTGTCCTCTCTTTCCCCACGTGACCTCAAGCTCACCCCACTTTTCCTTCTGCTCTAAAGGCTGCCTTAACCGTACCACCCCTTGAGGAACCTTTATCTCAGAATGCCATTTTACCAGAACCCCGTCCTCACCATCCGGGGCTGGTACCCCAGCCTCTGGTTGCCCATATTTTCTCAGGAAATGTCAGAGAGCCCAAGGGCTGTAGGGATGTTAGAGAGCCCAAGGGGCCAGCTGCCCACGGAGGGTTCTGGCCTTCTCTCAGAAATGCAGTAGCCTGTCAGCCTCCCTCTGTCCCAGCCTGGTCAAAGGGCAAGGGGGAGGAGACCTGGTGGCTGGCTCTCCTC